AACAGAGCCCACAAGATGGTCTGGCCCCACACGGCAGTAACAGCCTATGCCCCTAGACCTAGCTCAGCGGGAGTGGCGATTTGGGTACCCCCCGATTCCAGATTTGAGATAGTCCATTGGGCAGTGGACGAGGAAGAAGGACGGTGGGTGTCAGTACTTGGAATGCTGGAGCTAGAGTTGTTATGCATCTTGTGCATCTATTCCCCTAACACGGTCGGGAAAAGAATAACTTTTTTAGGCAACCTAGGGGCAGGCGTACCGGATGGCATCCCATTGGTTATTGCAGGGGACTTTAATGCCGCCCCAGAGAGAGGGCACGACAGATGGAACCCTCAGGGGTCCCCTACCTTTGCAGCTGAAGAAGATGAGCAAATGATTGCTGACCTGTGCGAAAGCCTCGCAGTCTTCGACACCTTCCGTCGTCTGCACCCTGCGGACCGGACCTTCTCCTATGTAAGGGACAGTGATCTGGCTAGGCTGTCCAAGTCACGAATCGACCTCATACTACTCTCCAATGACTTAGAAGGCGCTCTTCAATGGGCTGCCATCCTTCCGCGCAGTCCACATCCAAGCCTGGATCACAAAACATGCGGGATAATTCTCACTATGCGAAAAAGACCGGATCAAGGACCCGGTTTTTTCAAGCTAAATACCTCACTCCTACTCGACCACCAATTCAAACAGATGATCCAGTATGAGTGGCAGTTCTGGCGCCAACAGAGAGTTCATTTTGACTCGTTTTCTACGTGGTTCAACAATAGTCTGATCTTCTTAGCCAAGAAATGCAAAGATTTCTCTAAGGCAAAAGCGGCTCTAAGACACCAACAGGAATTTACCATCCATCAGGAACTGCTAAGCCTGGAACACCAGGTAGATTCACATCTTCTCACCACACACATCCAGGAAGTGAAGTCCAAACTTCTTCAATATGCACAACATAGATAGCAGGGCATCAGAATACGAGGAAAAATATCCAAGTTCACTCAGGAAGCCACAATGGACACCCATTTCTTTAGCATGGCGACTGCCCGCGCGAGACATACGATAATTGAGGCATTGTATGACCCGGACAAAGGGGACGAAATCATAGCAACGAATACCACACATTGCACCCTAATCACACGCAGTTTTTTCAAACAACTCTATAAATCCCAACTCCCGGCTGCGCGGGGGGAGGCATGAACGCGAGATCTGGAAGAATTCCTAGCGCCTATGGACAAACGTCTCTCCCCCACGCAGCAAGGGTACCTGGAACGTCCCCTGACAAAGGAGGAGATATGGGCAGCACTTCTGCAGATGAGGGAAGAAAAAACACCAGGCATAGATGGTTTCCCCAAAAAGTTTTGGGAAACAATGTGGTCAGAATTGAGCACAGATTTGTGGACGTTCTACGAGCAAGTCTGGGAGGACGGGGAAATGGGGGAAGTAGTGGGGAAAGGAGTGTTGACCCTGTTGTACAAAAAAGGGGATAAAATGAACATAAGGAATTACATACCAATTACTCTCCTTACAGTCGTCTACAAAATCCTCTCCAAAGCCTTGGCAAACCGTATGGCGAAGATCCTGACAGATGTGATCCACCCAGCTCAGACAGGATTCATGGCTGGCCGGAACATACAAGAGAATATCCTATTGATAAATGAAATTGTTTGTCTAGCGCGACGAAACCGGGCAAATGCGGCGATCGTTTTCATCGACTTCGAGAAGGCATACGATCACGTCGACTGGATCTTTCTAGATAAATGCTTGAAAAAAATGAATTTTGGGCCGGTTTTTAGGCGATGTGTACACATCCTACACAAAAACGCCACCACCTGTGTACAGGTAAATGGATCGGTGGCTCCTCCCTTTGAGCTCCAGCGATCGGCAAGGCAAGGAGATCCCATCGCCCCTTACCTCTTCCTGGTCATCATGGAGGCCCTTTCGGCTAACTTAAGATACAACAAAGATCTAACTCGAATTAGGATCCTCAATATCCCGAAGGAAGCGGTACCCATTTGTTCCCTTTTTGCAGACGACCTTACTATTATGGTTGAAGCAAATGCACAAAACATGGAAGAGATCCAGGCCCTCATAAACCGCTTCAGTCGCGTGTCAGACATGTCTGTCAAATGGGGGAAAAAAACTGTGGGCTGGTGGCTGCACCACCAGGGGGGCAGACCGCCAGAGAACCCGCGCATCACTTGGCTTCCCCCGGACGACCCCCTTAGAATCTTAGGAGCGTCGCTCACAGCGAAAGGGAAACCCGTCACAAATGATGAATGGCTGATTAGACCGGCACAGGCCAAGCTGCTGCAATGGAATCACAAACACACCTCAGTTTTTGGGCGGGCTCTTGTTGTTAATAATGTCGTGCTTGCCACCCTCTGGTATCGAGCCATTCTTTGGCCATAAGCAAAGGTGGGCTTAAGACACTCAACCAACAGCTGGCGGCCTTCCTATGGAGAGGGGACAGTAGTAATACCCACGTCATCATTCGTGTGGCATGAGACTTTGTGGTTCAGCCTAAGGTTGGGGGAGGGTTTGGAATAGTGGACCCTTCCACACAGTTTCAGGCCCTGAGCGTCCACTGGATCCAACATATTATCTTTGAAACCTCCTCCCCCGGGCTCCCCTGGCGCTAACACAAATCGCGGCCTTGGCCCCGGAAGCCCCACCAGAAACGGACCCTCTCACATGGCTCGAGGACAGATGTTGGAGACTCCCCAGGAAATACACGAATGGTGACCCGGTGGACGAACACTGGATACGCCTTCTGCGCACGTGGAGGAGACTCCCACTCCCCGACCGCCCCACCCCGGACAGATGGGAGGAGATAATCAGGCAACCGCTGTTCGGCAATAGATTAATCACAAATTCCCTCGATCAGGTAAGAAACAGCTCAGACTCACCCTGGAAAATCTGGGTGAAACACGGGGTGCTGAGGGTGGGGGACCTATGGGATGGGGAAAACGGAGAATGGAAAAGTGCAGCAAGAATGAAAAGTTGCTTGCGCTACTGCAACTCCCTCGAGTCTACAATGGAAGAACTTATTGAAAGCTTTCCCATCCAATGGTACACTAGGCTTAAGAAAGGTCCAACGTTGGAAGAAGATGATTGGGTGGGGCTACCTGGCCATGAATCACAAGTAGGCCTAATGCACCTAGTGGACCAGGCACAAGTCCTGATTGAATGTTACACTATTACAGAATCGGGGCGGCTACAAGGGAATAGACAACCTTTCATCTGGAAAAGGAAATCAGAAGTCTATCGCATCAGGGTGATTGAAGAAGGGGAAGGTTGGAGAGCGCATCGTCCAATGACCCCGATTGAGAACCTCCCCCTTGATCCCCAAGAATGGAGATGGTCGTGGAAAGGCAAGGGAGGGCGGGGACGGGGGGAAGGAAGAACGGTCCAATTAGCCGCCCTAAAAACGAAGTCCGTCTACCGGATGCTCAGGCCCAAGCGCGGGCTACGAGTCGTGGTGGCGGACAAATGGCAGCGCCATCTCAATGTAGATCGAAGCACACTCAAATCTATCCAATGGTTCACCGAGTACCACAAAAGGCCGGCAAAAGATTCCTCTCTTCAATGGCAAATCACTCACCGTTGCCTACCGACCAACAACTGGCTGATCGATCATACACAGCTGGAACAACAAGGAAGGGCGCTCCCCTGGTGCCGGGGCTGCTACCAAAATTTCCCCGGAAAAAAGCGCCCTGAGACGGTTGAGCACATCTTCCTACAATGCCCTGCAGCTGTCCTGCTATGGAGATGGTGGGATAGGATCTGGAGGCACATCGTTCCAGGTTCATTATGGCCCTGGGACTGGAGGGCAATTCTGTTGGGACACTGCCCCCACTTTTGCGACAACACCTTTGTAGCAAATATGTTCTCCCTGGGCCAGCGTACAGTCCTCTAGACCATATGGTGGCGAAGATGCATACTGGAATTAGAGGGGGCCAGGGTAGAAGAGGGGGAGGTCACAGAACAGATACGGCTGCTCTTCCAACATGAGATCATGGCACAATGGCAGAGTGTCAAGGAAAAACTGAGTCAGGTGCACAGCAGGGGTGACATTAAAAACATTATCTCCCGGTTCTGCGAAGGTTGGCTGGGGGGGAGAGGGAGGGCTGGGTCGCGAGCGTGACTTGGACAGGAGACAGGTTGGACCACGGAGAAGGACAAGAGGGAGACCCGGAAAGAGACTATCAACTTCTCTTTAAAGATTGGACAAGGGTGGATCCCAAAGAACAGCTGAGACCTGCGCAGGATTTCGGTGATCCCTTTCCCCTTCACCCGTTGGCCCTGGAGGAGTATCTGGGGGCTTAGTGTCATTTAAATCACTCAAATCCGGCATAGCATGTTGTAGTGCAAGCTAGCCTGCCGGTGGTGTCGGTTTTTTCAAACATAAGCTACTGCAGCGAGTAAGGACACAACAAGACACAGTAAAAGCCATGGGATAGTAGGAGGACGACAGAGGCTAGGGGATGGCGGGAGGCTCACTGGTGCCCCCCGGCTGCTGCTGGCTAGAAAAACAGATAAGATAGGGGACGCTGGACCCGGTTTCCAGCACAATGGCGCTACCCTCAAGATGTTAAAAAAAACAAAAAAAATTCCTTTTTCTGTATATGAGACTTCGTACGCCATGAGGATAGCAAGTGGAGGGCAGGAGCTAGGGGATGGAGGGACAGCCCACTGGTGCCCCTGGTGGATCTCCCCCCAGTACCCGGCGTTGCTGCAGGAGAGGTAGGAAGAAAAAAAAATAGATATGGGACGCTGGGCCCGGTTTCCAGCTCAATGGCGTCACCTTCAATGATGGACTATTTTGTAAAGATGTATTGATGGGACGCTGGGCCCGGTTCTCAGCAGGTGATGCTCCCCACCAATAGATGGAGCGGCCCGCCAGGCAAAGCCTCAATCCCAGTGGTTCTCTTACCACCACCAGGATAGAGGCCTTGTACAAGGGTCTTGTTAAACCACTAGTACCTTTGCCGCTTGGGAAAATAGCGGGCCTCGGGTAGGCGTCCGATCTTTGCAGCGGCCAAAACGAAACGACGGCCGCCGATCAGATTTATCAATGGCAGTCGTCGTCGGGCCCGACCTCCGAAAATTCAGGCGATTGGGAAAACAGCCAGTTTTCCCTATTTTCCCACGCGGGAAAGGTACTAGTGCCGCTTGGGAAAATAGCGGGCCTCGGGTAGGCGTCCGACCTTTGCAGCGGCCGAAACGAAACGACGGCCGCCGATCAGATTTATCAATGGCAGTCGTTGTCGGGCCCGACCTCCGAAAATTCAGGCAATTGGGAAAACAGCCAGTTTTCCCAATTTTCCCACGCGGGAAAGGTACTCGTGGTTTATTAAAAAAAAAAAAAAAAAAAAAAAAAAAAGGGGAAATAACTAAGACAATACGCCGGCCAAATCCAACCATCCCGCTACGTCTTTAAGCTCTTAGTAGAGTAATCCCGAGATCGTGGGAACTGGATGACGCTTCAATTCTAGTTCAATGGTCCAAACAGAAAGAAGCGCCATGCTTAAGCAGGGGCCTTGTTTCAATTTGAATTTTGAATGAATGTCCTGAAGGGGCCATTCTATCTTAACAATTACAACTATGACACTATGTAGCTTTTTTTTTTTGTTTTGTTTTTTACTTCGCTTTTCCCCATCTGGGGATCCCGAGCACTTTTTTTTTTCCCCCTTTTTTGGGAAAGAAAGAACAGGCCCTCTAGTCTAGTTCGTCATTCTTTGTCATTCAGAACTGTTACATTATTCCCTAGCATTGAAACTGTAAAGAGATTTTATTCACAGCATTGATTGCTTTTCCCCATCCTTGCATCCGACCAGTATTCTTTTTTTTTTCTTCCTTTTTGGAAAAAAGAGCTATTTCTGGAACGGCACCGAGAAGATTAGCATGGCTCCTGCGCTTTCAAGGATTATGCTGTCAAGGGCGATGCTGATCAATTAGTACCGACGCGCACACAAACACACACACACACACACACAACCTCCTGATGAGTCAGTGAAAGTCCAAGGAAACAGTCTGGCACAGTAATGCCCTTTTGGTGGCGTTGCGCACAGCAAACATCACAACACACACACACCTGTCTCTTATACACATCTAGATGTGTATAAGAGACAGGTCCTTGTTTAGGCAGGTTGCATCCTGAAGTGGTGAA